AAAAACCTTGGCTATAGGCCCAAGTGAGCATATGTTCCCAGGCAAGGACATTATAGCTGGGGGAATATCTGGATGTGTACAAAACTGGTTCGAGGATTCAGGCAAACTTTGTGAGCAATTCTCTTTCTTTCCTCTGAACACGTCCCATAAAAAGAATAGCATATTCCAACTAATCATCATGATTTTCCTTTCCTACACAACAATTTGATTTTCACTCCTCTCAAGTTATCTTCCACCAAATATATCATTCAAAGATCCAGACAATACAAATTAATATCCTACCCGCCCAAATTCAAACAACACAAATTCATACCAAAAAATCAACGTATGAATCAATTGCTTATCAAAGTCCAAATCATCGAAACATTCTCTGAACAAATTCTCAGAGACACAACCCATGCAATATGGGATACACAAAATTCGCAAAAGAAAAAAGGCGAATTCACACCACCATACCATGTGACATATCTTCACAAGGATGAAGATTTTTAAATTTTTTCCACAAAATCAGTTTCCAAAACAAGTTTCATTTTTTTTTTTTTTTTGGCAACAAACTTTGCCTCCAACCCCGGTAAAGTTTGAGGGAGGGTATTAACAACAACAAAATATATGATGGAGGAAAACAAGGAATCATTGAAGATCAAGATGATTGATGATTATGATGATGTGCTTAATTTTAGAAATTGTCATTTATCTTTACATATTTAGTCTATTGAGTTGTACTATAAATTGATGCTTTCTCAATGAATAAAAAAACTCCCATTTCTATTTTCTTCATATTTTCTTCTAAAAAATCTATGGATCAAAGTATGTTTATACTTCCGCTATTTTCATTCTTATTTATTTCAACATGGATGGTTATATTTGAGAAAGGGTTTGATAAATTATGATTTGATTAATGTTTTGATCGATAATCCTTTTCAATTTGCATGCGTGCAATATTGCCCAATACAGTATATAACTCAGTAACATGTACTTGTTTGTGCACTTCCATGGTGCGAGTGGAATCAATGTATTATGCATAATATCTAATCGATATATTTTACAATTTAAGCATTTGAATGAAAAATGTATACAACATTTTAGTCACACCGTGATATGATCTGAAGTTGGAAACGAGAAACGTACTTATTTACATTTTACCATTTTCTATATTTTTAGTTAAAAAGAAAGTAACATATTCAAACATTTACAAAGATTTGCCTTTTTTCAGGATTAGTCGACAATGGAAACTTTGAACAAGGACCAAAGCCATCAACCTAAATAAAACATTGATAATAGGGAAATAATCTCTACCCAAAGGATAATCAGCGGCATAGTCGAGTACATCTCCGACGGACCACAGCCCAGCGGTTTCAACTTTGCCGTCCCGCGTGGAGTTCACTGTAAGGCTTGGTAATGAAGTTTCCGTTTCACAATACATCAAAAACCTAAAACCGAGCACAATATACACCTTAACATTTAGGGCAACCCGAACTTATGAGTTATGCCCAAGATGAAGCCCTAAGAATTTCCGTCAACCCGGGGAGAGTGTCGAGTGACCTTCCAATCCAGGCATTGTACAGTAGTGATGGAGGAGACACTTATGCATGGAGTTTTAAGGCAACATCAAATGTTGTTGAGGCATGTTTGACACACATTCTTTCAAAATACATTATTTCAAAACTCATTTTCAACCACAAATTTTTTAATAAAATAATATTTTTCATCACATCAATAATTTTTCCTTACTTTTTAACTATATATTTCCAATCATATCAATATTTAAAATACATTCTTTTCTCGATAATATCCATCAAACACGCCCAGATTATTTTTCATAATCCTGGTATGCAAGAAGATCGATCCAACTTGTGGACCACTTTTGGATGCCATTGCGATCAAGGAAATGTTGCCACTTACATACACAAGAGGTAAGCCTCAATTTTTATATTTGGTTGTATATATTAGTGGTACATCGATTATTTGACTTCAAGGTGTGATCATTATAGGACTTAAAAATGAATTCCAGTCATTTATTGGTCAATGATCTAATCTTACATTAACGGAGTCACATATGGACGAATGGCCTCACTTTTTTTTAAGTAACATCCATGTCCATAAGTCCTTGTGGTTTAGGGCAGACTCTTTAGTGTTAGTCAAACATTTATTTTAGCCTTCGTTCGGAAGGAATTTATAAACGATTTAGTCTGCTATTTTGCACATATTAAAACAATATTTTTTAGTAAATTTTGATCAAAATTGATAAATTGTGTGATTGAAAAATTGTTGGTTCCATAAAATGCATAGTTAAAATTATTTTGCTGACTTTGACTTAAAATTTTAATCTAATTTAATCTATAACAAACATGGGCTTAATTTACAATTAGATAGAATGTAATTGGTAGATAAATGGATAATATATTATGGCTAGCTACCTATCTCTTCATTCTAATTTGAAACTCTGGATCCTCTTGCTACCTAAAATTGAATAACTATAAGATAAAAAATTTCACATGATCATGTACAAATTCCATGCAGGTAATTTGGGGAAAAATGGTGGTTTTGAAGTTGGTCCACATGTATTCAAGAACTTCTCGACAGGGATCCTCGTTCTCCCCAAAAGACCAGACTTATATTCACCAATTCCAGGATGGATTGTTGAATCCTCAAAACCAGTAAAATACATCGACTCGAAGCATTTCAACGTCCCGTCATGGCGCGCTGCAGTCGAGTTCGTTGGAGGGAGAGAAACTGCCATTGCACAAATCATAAGGACAGTGCCCAACAAATTCTACAACCTCACATTCACCATTGGTGATGCGAAAAATGGCTGCCATGGATCAATGACAGTGGAAGCTTTTGCTGGCAAACAGACTGTAAAAGAGCCATTTACTTCTCAAGGGAAAGGTTGGTTTAAGACAGCAAGTCCTAGGTTTCAAGCAGTTTCGGACAGAACAAGGATAACATTTTTTAAACCGATTTTATCACACAAAGATACACGACTTTGGACATATTTGTCGCTCTGTCTTGAATGATGTTAGGGTTTTCCCTGTTGCGTAGTGTATCGGGCGCCGAATTATACACGGAATTATCCTCTCTGTAAGGTTAAAGATTGTTACTGTTTTTCATAAAAATGTACGTTTATCATTTTTGTGATGTCTTCATTGAAAACTGAAGTTTAAATAATTAAATTTGATTTTTTTTAATAATTTAAGTTTTTAGACCAACTCCTTCAATATTGTATTAGAGCTTATAATTGCTCTGAATTCAAGCATTGTTATTCTTGAAAAATTATATATGCACGTTAGTTGGGCTTCGACTATAAAGTAGAAATATCACGTCAGAGCATATCGAGGTTTTCATTTCAAGTTTGTCGCTATATATTTATAGAAATTATGCACTTCATTGGCATTTGATTGAAAAATGTATAGATATGCACGTTAGGGTATGATATTAATATATATGTCTCCTTTCTAATCAACATAATAGGTCTTAGATGAAGTGTTTCAAAAATGTTTTTCTAAAAAAAATCTATTGTGAAAATTCAAAAGGTATAATATGAGGTATAGTTAACTACAAAGAAGAACAACATCAATGATAAAAGTTTTTGTTGTTGATGCCTTGATTTACATTGGTAACAACCTTTATCGAAAAAATTCCCCCTCAATAAGTCGGTAATTTACTTATTCGTTGATGAATCAAAGATGGCTCAATAACGTAAATATTTGTTGCTATTTATAAATTAATATTTCTATGGCTAATCAACAACATAGTCCTTTGGTAATAGTGACAAACTTTAGCTAATGTAGCAACAACGATTTTTGTGACAACTTAGTTTTTGAGTCTCACTTTTTGGGAGGATATATTTTATAATAGTGTTTTTTTTTTAATTGTACAGTTAAAAAGTAAAGAAAAGTTTTGAGTTCATGTGTAAATTTATTTTATAATTGGAAGAATGTGTAGTTGAAAATAAGTTTTAAAAAAAAAGTGTTTTTTAAGAATGGAATTCCAACATGAGCTTTGTTCTTCAGAAAATTTGTACTTATTTCTCATGTTTCTCAATCCTCCCTCTATGCATCTCTTCTATATACAGAGGGACCTATGAGACTTGGTCAAAAATTTATATAATATATTAAATATCATATCAAATGAAAATCATTTTTTGGACGATTTAACCCTACTACAATAATACCTTACTTTTTCGTTTTTCAATATGTAATAAATATTATAAAATTCTTGTCATGTATGAATTTCATGTTACTAATTCTTAATTAATTAACATTTACATTAATCTAAACTCAATGAATCTTGATTGATGAATCTTCATCTACATGAATCTAGAGATATTATAAATTAATTTATTTCTATTTATGTATCTAAAATTTTTAATGAGTGTTTAATTTCATGTATTAGCAATTAATTTTTACAAAATTCTTATCATGTATGAATATCGTGTTATTAATTTTCAGTTAATTAAAATTTACATTAATTTAGATTCAATGAATCTTAACTTGATAAATCTTAATCTATATGAATCTAGAATTATTATAGATGAATTTATTTATATTCATGTATCTAGGAATTTTAATGGATGTTTAAATTCATGTATTAAAAATTAATACTTATATACCAAATGTTATATAAAAAGTTGCTAATTTTTAGTATTTCGTCATCACAAAAAATATGAATGATAGAAGTTGAATTTTGAGAGCTCAATTTTCTTCTCTTAAATTTTTATCCTAAATTTTATTTCCTTTAATTCTTTTGGGACTTATCATATTCTCTTAACAAAATGATATCAAATATTATATTTACAGCACTTATAAAAAGTATTTTAAAATAACGTGCAATGCACATTTAACTTTGACTAGTCTATAATAGAGTCCAATATATTAAATAAACGGGTATCAAAATTGCATGTATATTATGCTCTTATTTGAGCCACATTAAAATTTGCATTCTCATTCTTCTACTCATTTTTAACTACGCATTTTTCAATAAAATAATATTTTCCATCGCATCAATAATTTTTCCTTCTTTTTCAACCACACATTCTTAATTAATCTATTATTCCAAAATAATGTGCATGGCTCAAACACACACCCTATATAATGTTTCAAGTGAATTATTATTGATTTGATTTCTCCAAGTGGGACTTAATGGAACGTCCAACAAACTCAAAATTCAGTGGATGAAACGAAAGTAGTGTGTCACCAACAATTTTAATGTATAAGAATGTCAATTGAAGCAAATTTTCTTCTCGTTTATTGCCTTTTGGGCTTCTTAAGCACATATACAAATTAATTTCATATATAAAAAGGAAAATTTGCGAATGTCTCGTCTTCAAATTTTCTTCCATAATGCAATTTTATCTACATATATAATTATTTATTGACAGTGTTATCTCAATCTTTTATATATAATTGACATGGCTGCTTCTTATTGACGATCTAAAAAGGAAAAAAAAGTTGATCCAAGTTGAATTATTTGTTAACTTTTTCTATGACGTCGATGTTTGTACACTTTTTTGACGAGTTAAACATGAAAGTACCCATCTATCGATTATCTATAGAACTTTGGATAGTCCACAACTAGCAATCATCATCCCCTACCTAATTAAATGGCCAACCTTGAATAGGGTTTTGAAATTCATTAAATATGACTAACATGGCATCTGGGCTATTGCACTTTTTAGAGGGCATTGGATTGAAGAAAATTCTTAATGTCATAAATAATTTTGTCCCTATCTGAAACTAATCAAATTGGAATTTTATTGGACATGTTACAGAAATTTTGGACCTTGGTATGTCTAAAAATAAGTGTTTTACATAAGCACTCCTGCAATACTAAAATTGGTGTTGAGAGTTGAAAGAAACCTGTAAATTAGGTTGATCGATAAATTTTAAAATATAAGTTATCGTTTGAAGAATGAGTCGTCCGTGCTTTTTCTCAAGATAAAAAATATATGAAAACGAGTCTACTTTCGATATCATAATTCGTACATGACTCTTCTGGACTCATCTTTACGGGATTGTTAGTATTTCGTTTAAAATTAAGTATTTATTTTACAAACTATATATAATAATGTAAAAATATTAGTGTGATGTCATTTTTCCACACTCTAGAGCATGCCACATTAAATACGGGGGCCTGTATTCGTGATTTAGTACATATATAATAGGCACGGAATTGACAATACTCCTTTGATGCTTGGTTTTCTTATTCTTTTGGGCATTTATTTTTCTATCCGTCACCGCAAAATTTGAACACATCTAAGGCGGAGCAGGGGAGTGGAGTGGCTGGACGGGGAAAATTGCCAACCCTAATTGTGAGCTGATTTTCAGTTTATATGATAAAATGTTGGCAAACATTTTTCATTTTGTGATGGATCCTCGTAAAATAACGGTATTCACAAACAACAAAATCGAGAAAAATAATCGAACTTTTATTACATCAAGTTTTACAATCACAAAATACTTTTTCTATTTACGGCTACATCTTCCATCATAAAAAAAATACTATACACGAACTCAATCGTCCAGTAAAAATTAGTTCAACAACAATACTATTCACAACACTTCATTTGTGGTGAAGACGAAATCTTTTACTAGCATCGTTAAATGTATATATTTGCGAATATACATAGTATAAACATATTGTGTATCCATCGTGAATAATAAATGTTACCATGTGATCAAATACATTTCACGATGACTTTTCAATGTTGCGGAAAAGATTTAACTTTTTATTTAAGAGCCACCTATGTATATAAGATTGTAACAGCCCCTAAGTATTTTATGTTAAAAGTTGTTATGTCTCCTTGAAATTATTTGTCTTTCACTTACTAATAAGTAATCACCATTTTCTTCTTCTTCTTCTCTCAATTTCCATTTCTACTTCTCTAGCAGAAAAATGAAACTGAAATCGGTATATTTTTCCGGAGAAGCTGCAGAAATTGCTGAATTTAACACCCATTTATCTCCACCAATGCCTGCCGCCGGAAGAGTTGCGCTGCCGCCGGGTACAGCGGCAAAATGCGACGGCGACGCTCATAATTGTCCGTGGCGGCCATTTACAAATTCCAAGGATTTCAAAGAAAACACCGTCGTGATACTACTTGTCCTTATAATTGCTTTAATCTGCGCTCTAGTTTTCAATGCTGCAAGTCGGTATATCATACGCATGAACTGCTGCCGGAGGCGGCGTGACTCTCAGCAGTCATCAGATGAGAACCAGGATGTGGAAATGGCACAGCCAAAGACAGTTCTCAGCTCTGGTACGTACTTTCGATCATCTCGTCTCGAAGTTAATTCAAGGATTTTCACGTTGAGGCGCGAAAGATATTGAAGGCGAAGTGTGTGCATTATGTATCTATTGAAAAAAAAAAACACAAATTTTTACATAAAAAATTAAACAAAAAATTCAAAATGTTGCGGGGACGTCGCCACCCCTACCCCCCGTGACATGGACTTTCGGGCTGAGTTAAATCTTTTTAGGACTACGTTACGAAATAAAAATATCCCGGATTGGTTTTTTGAAGTAAAACATAAAATTTGTAGACGAAAATTTACACTAAGTTGTAACCTAATGCATTAATATTCATTTCATCATTTTGTCTAAAAGTTTAAGTTGTCGATAAGGGGACATACACATTCATTTAAATGTTATTTTCAACAGGTATGACCGAGACGGAGACGGAAATCACGACCCAGGTGTATTCAGTGGGGATGAAGCTGGCGGGGGAAGAGGCGGAGTGTACAATCTGCTTATCGGAATTTGCAGATGGGGAGAAAATTAGGGTTCTGGAGAAATGCAGCCATGGCTTCCATTTGCAGTGCATAACACAATGGCTGGCTGCTCAAACCTCTTGTCCTACGTGCAGAGCGAGTTGTGATCTTTGAATTATGGCCCCCATTTCTGGTTGTTTTAGTTGATGAAAAATAAAAGTAATATAGTGAGTAATTTCGGTAATTGTAAATCACTTTTCTTCAAGTAATTATTAATCCGAGATTATAAGGGTTAAAGATCTGAGCTTTATTGGTGAGCATTGTAAGATGATGATCGACTATACAATTAGAATTAAGAAATAGAAACAGACGAACCTTTTATTTAGCATGCTAATTACTTTTCCATACCAAGCCTTTGGTGAAGATTAAAATCATATTTTTAGTAAATTTTGTTAAAAGTTAATGAAATATGTGGTTGAAAAGTTGTAGATCCCATAAAATGTGTGAAATCTTATGAAATGTGTAGTTAAAATTAATTATTGATTTTGATTTGAAATTTTAATTGGATTTTAATTCAAAGAGGGCAAAATATATTTCATTTTCTTTTTAAAACTATATTTTTTGATGGGCGAATCGGGCTATCTAGAAAAATTTGAGGCGTTGCATGACCCAAGAGATGAACCATAAAGGTTTTTTTTTTTTAAATGAAAAATAAAAACATGAATAATTAAGCTTTAATTTTATGTTTTGGTTCGGAGCATTAACTATATATTTTATGAGACTTACCATAGAAAAAAACTTTATCAAATTGGGACTAAGTACGATGTTTTGTAATAATCTTTGCTTTTAAAGTAAGAAACTACAATGTAATAACCATTAAACAATTTGTTGCGTTAAAATTCCGCAAATGGACAGTATTGTAAACAAGTAACAAAATGGATGTGAATCTAATTATCGATTCCACAATAATTAAGTATTAAGCCCTTGTTTGGCTCTTATTAAATTAAATTACATTACATTAAATTTTTCTCTCTCTTCATTACAACCACACATTCATCAAATAAAATAATATTACACACAAATCTAAAACTTTTCATTATTTTCCCACCACACATTCTCTCATCAATCACTATCCAAAAAATTTCTACCCTAAAAAATGCCAAATAATGGGGGCCAAACGGGGGCTTAATCTAATTACCTAATTTTAATTGAAAAACAAAAATAAGATGACGTGGATGATTTACACTAAATCTATAATATATATTAAATATCACATCAAGTGAGAATCATTTTTTAAACAATTTTATTCTTATTATAATTCAATTATTTCAATAATATTTTCATTTTCATTTTTCACATTATTTAATTATTTCAATAATACCCTACTTTTTGTTTTTCAATATGTATTTAATTTATTAATCATTTGAACAATATTATCATTAATTATTTTGTCAACTATTTAGTTGTGATGAATGTACATTTGACACACTCATTACCTTATTTTTCGTTTTTTAATATGTATTTAGTTTATTTAATTATATTTGACAAATTCATTACCTTTTCGTTTTTCAATAAACATTTGACTTATTTAATCATTTGAACAATATAATCATGAATTATTTTGTCAATTTTTTAGTTATGATCAATGCACATTTGATATATTCATTCCACTTGATTGGATAGTAAATTAAATTCATTAAAGAAAATTGGAACAAAAGATAAATATTTTTAGAGTTTTCTTCCAAATGATTTATTTAATTAATGTAAAGATGCAAAGAAGGTAAATGGGGGACATAATGCATATCCATAATAAATAATTTCAATTGATATATTCAATGTATAATAAGCGATATGAAGAATGACGATATTTGTTAGATGTTGTATTCATATCAAAGGGGTAAATGAATGGACTGTTCTAATTGACTTTCTCAACTATTTAAATTATTTCCACAAACAGATTTTTATTTCATTTTAATCAAAAATTCATTCCACGTAAACAATTTATATTAATTATTTTTTATATTCTCACATCTTCAAATATTATTTTTATAGCCTTATAAAGTGTTTCAGAATAACGTGCAACCCACATTTAATTATGACTAATTAAACCTAAAACTAACTAACTAATCTTATAGATTGTGAAGCGTTTATGAAACTCAATTAATTGATCACTAAGATTTCGAGTCCCCATATACTCTTCCATCTTAATATCAATCCAAAACTTTGAAAACACTTATTCAGAGTTGAAGATTAATGTTTTTTATTTTATTTAATAATATCTCTAAAGTAGAATTAAATAAATTTCACATATCAAATGAATATCCTTATCCCGAATGAGAATATATGAAGATGCATAAAAATCAATGACATCATGCAAAAAAAAAAAAGGATAATTATTTTTTAACATCTATAGAATTTTGCAATAATTGTTATCATGTGCTTTCTTTCCTATTTCTTTTCTCAAATGACAATAAAAATTACACATTAATTCAATTAGTAACCAAGTAATTGAAAATCATTAAGATCATAACAAGCATTCAAAACCAGACAAATATTTAATTGTCAAAATTATGAATTTATATAAAAACATTAAAACATAGTTAGTGTTCATCGTTATCTTAACATCATGATAATACAAAAACACAAATTGAATCAAGTATAACATCTTCCGAAATTAAAGATTGGGAAGAAAGATGAAAAACAATATTGAATGTAGAATGGGTATTTTGTATCAAAAGCTTATTATGGTTAACAAAGAATGTCTTTTAATATCAAAGAGCATCTCATTCTCTATTGAATTATGTGTGTTTGCATGTACAAACTCCTCTCTCTCTCCTCTCTCTCTGGCGGAGCCAGGAATTCATTGCACGAGGGGCTAAATTTTTTAAAATGTAATGTACGAATAAAATTTATATATAATTAATAAATTTATTTATTTATTTTGGGCAGGCAATGCACGAAAATATCCAGTTCTAGATATGACATATCCATATATGAAAACCATGATATGCATTACCCCTAGACAGGTTGTGTCACATAGATATGCCAACTTTTGCTACTAAATCTCAATATTTTTTTTTCCCTTTCTGAACTCTAATAAATGCCCATCTATAAGATGGTAGTGAGATGGAATTGGAAAGAAATGTCAGTTCCTACTTAAAGCCTTGTTTCTGAAGAATTTACCCCAAACCAGCCAGATACACTTGATTCCTAACCTATTTACCATGTGATTGATCACAAGCCAAACAATCACAATTAAAAAGGAGAATGTAATGCTATTTGATTTATTATGGGTATTAACTGCCTAGATCTGATCCATGAACAATGGAAAAATACTTATAATTTCCCACTTAAACATGCTTTAGAATTCTGGAATGAAAGAGGAATTGAGTGATTCTAAAGTTCAAGCAGAAGAATATCGAAGCATAGTTGTATGCATGTCCAAAAATCCCAATTCAAAAGTTAGAGAACAATCCTGCATTGACCAAATTTACTTCACAAATATGCAACAAGTGATTCTATCCTGAAGTGGCAAAACAATTACAGGAAGAGAATTGATTTCCAACAATAGAGTACCTAATATAGAGACAGTAAATGATCTATTTCCATGATTTCAAACTAAAAACAAACATATTATAAAGACTTTAGCCAAAACCTTGGGTATGACCAGGAGTTGCCATCACGAGCACTTTGTGGCTTGCAAACATCCATTTATTCCCATCATCCAAAGCAATATCAATCCCAGGGATACTCTCCTTGTCTAAACTCGATCCAATGACCTACAAGAATGTATAGAAGGTTGAAAGATCTAAAAATTAAAATTGGGGAAAATGTAAAAGTAATTGAATACGTATATAAACTATCTCATTGTAACATTGATTACAATGGAAATCTTAATTCCTATTATAAAGAAAAAAAAAAAAGCAGCTTTATATGTATCATTTGGCTATCCATTGCCTTTTTGTTGTGGAAGGGATGAGATATCAGGTCCCTGAAGAGTCAACACGTCAATTCCCAGAATCCCATCTCTATTCTCAAGTGCTGAAGTGCAACGGTCTAACGGATATTCCCCTGAATGAATCCCATGATTTCCCTCATACATCCATAAATCCGCACGTCAAAGACTCGGTTTTCAGTTTTAACTTTTGACATTCTATATATTTCTTTGTATTAAAAGAAAAACAAAGAAAATAATTAATTATTGACCTCAAGGCAGTAAGGCACATTCAAACACACAAATTCAACCTGGTACAAATTCAATCCCCACAGCCACATTCAAACACACAAAGACACCACACGGTCCAGTGTCCACAGTCCACACGAAATCACCTAACTCCACACAATCTTAAGGTTTTATAAAATAAAATCACACACGCCCCATTATAAATTCAAATCCCAATTTAAAACCTACAGCCCACACTGCCATAGGCCGCCACAACTATAGACCACATGCAAACCAATCTCAATTAAAAGAAAAAAAAACCTCCAATGGAACCCGTGATATCTACAGACTATAGCTCCAGCCTCCAAATTCATATCAACTATCAACATTCAGTAAAAAAACCAAAAAAAAAAAATACCTTTCTCATAGTCACAGACGGCGTTCGACGGACGGTGGATGAAGGGTTTCGTCGTTTTGGGTTTGAGAGAGTCAGAGAGAGAGAGCAAAGAGGGATGAAGGGTTTGGCTTTCGTAGCTTTGAGAGAGAGAGAGCAGAGAGTGAGAGAGGGAATGATGGACGGAGTGGTGTGAGACTGTGATAGAGAGTGGAGAGGGTTCGCGTTTTGGGTAAATAGGTGGGAATTGGGTTTAATTTTAGGTGGGTTGGGCTTTCAATTTTTCAAATGGGCTAGGACAATTGGGCTTTAACCAAAAAAAATTTTTTGTTCAAATGCTGGGCTTGGGCAAGGGTGGGCTGGGTAGGACAATTGGGTTTTAACCAAATTTTTTTTCAGAGGCTGTGCTTAGGCAAGTAGCCCACCCCTATCTCTCTCTCTCTCTCTCTCTCTCTCCCCTCCCTCCACTTGGTACCCAAGCCTCTCATATGATTATATCTTGAGTTCTATATGAAGTTATGTAATATAGTCAACAATTAGGTCAAAATTCGTGCCATAATTGCTTTTCAAGAAGATGTTGAATTAAATATATTTCACATATAACATGAAATATCCTTA